TCCAGACCGACTTACAACTGGTTCCTTCATCTCCTTACTCCTTACATTCATTCATTCGTTCATTCATTCCCAAAAACACCCATTATAACCAACTGGTCTATGACAAGACTGCTACATGCCCGCAAGGAGCTCATTTTCCAGAAAGGTAATCCCCTCTTGGGCAAGGGCTATTGGCCAAGGCCACGTTATGCATGGCTTTAACTGTCATGCAAATGAGCTTGAAATTTTGGTCTGGTGGAGTGTTTTAAACTGGAGAGAAACCTGATCTGGTTTATATTTTTAGAAATTCACTGGGTTAGCCCTCTGGAGGTTTGTTTAGAAGCCACAGACTACAGAGGCTAAGACTGAGTAGGAGACTATTAACAGGTGAGTCGAATAGGAGACTATTAACAGGTGAGAGATGATGTCTTTATCTATGCTCCCGCTGTCAAAGTCAGGTGAGCAGAGTGAGAAGTCTATTTATAGATGCACAATGTTAGTTCCCACTAATCAAAGTTTTACTGCAATAAAAATAGATTAGAATGTCTACTTTGGGACTTAACCCCGGAAGGTCTCTGCTTTGGGGTTTTTTTCTCTTTTGTGAAATGGTTAGAATCGCAGGATTAGGTGATGGTTAGAGGTTACCATGACACAATTTCCCATGTTGAGGGTGGTGAGCAATTGGAGATCCTATTCACGGTGGAGGAAGAAGGAAACCAAGAGTGTTCAGGTTAGTTGTAGGCACTTCTTGGGACAGTCTGCAGTATATCTTTAATGAAATGTTTATGGTGTTTTGGTAAAGTAACAGTTTCAATAAAGCTTTTCCTCCTCATGGGGGTGCCTGGGTGGCTCAGTCAGTTAAGCATCTGCCTTTGGTTCGTCATGATCCCAAGGTCCTGGGATCAAGCCCTATGCACAGCTGGCTCCCTGCTCAGTTGGGAGCCTGCTTCTCCCTCTCCCACTCCTCCCCACTCATGTTCTCTCTCACTTGCTCTACTCTCTCTCTCAAATAAATAAATAAAGAAATCTTAAAAAAAAATAAAAGTTTTTCCTCACAGCTCACAAAGATTCTTTGCTTGACCAAACTGTAGTCAGCCTCCTGAATCTTCTCTTAGGCCCTTCTGTATACTTCCTTGTAAACTCCAGTGTTAGCCAGAACCCTGTTAAATGAGTTTAGCAAGAAACCTCACCCTGGATATCTGATCATTGTGGCTTATCTTCAGCAAGAATCCTGTTAAGTACCTTTAACCAAAATCACCCTTTACACCTAATGCTTCCTTCCCCTTAGTAATTTGCTATACACCAAGCCCTATCCTGTTCCTTGGCTATATAGTCCCACTTGCTCATGCTATCTTTGGAGTTGAGTCTAATTACCTTCTGCAAGACCCCATTTCACGGGTCCCTACACCTACCATCATGGCCCCCCTTGATGCCTTACCATCTTCAACAAGTGCCACTGAACAATTTTTTCTTTAACACAAGCAAGGGGATGGACAAGTAAGGATCATATACACAGATGGAAGCTGTTGTCAGGGTGCTAGTTTCTGTGTTGGGTGTGATTTCTTTTTTTTTTTTTTAAGATTTTATTTATTTATTTATGAGAGCGAGAGTGGGGGAGGGGCAAAGGGAGAGGGAGAATCTCAAGCAGTTTCCACACCCAGGTCGGAGCCTGATAACAGGGCTTGATCTCCTGATCCTGAGATCATGACCTGAGCCGAAATCAAGAGTTGGCCACTTAACCAACTGAGCCACCCAGGCCCCCTCCATGTTGGGTGATGATTTCAAGGGCATTTCTTATATTATTATTATTGTCTTTAACAGATAGAAGTTCTTACATAGACACGTAATGAGAATTATGATTACTCTCTCTCTGTGACCCCAAAGTCCAGTCTTAATAAAAAAAAGAAGAAAAAAAGAGAAAACACCCTCATTACCACAAGGGAGGGAAGTAGCTAATGTGGAACAAAGAAGGGGGCTTACCAAATGAGAACCAGAATCTTGGAATCTAGTCTTTCCAAGAATTTTCCCAGTCTTTTACCACTCCTCCTACCTCTCTCTAGAATCCCTCAATTTATTGTCTTTCATAAAATCCCTTGGTAGCTGTTCAACGTTGGGCTTTAATCTGAAAAACTGGCTCCCTGTTCTTCTTGTATTAGAAAAATGTAGTTATTATTACCAATGCACAATGATAATCATATAAAATAATAATAAACACCCTTGAAACTACCATCCAACATGGAAATTAGAGACTTCCCATATGATTTTAACAAATGGAGTGTGAAACAACCTCAAATCATTGTGTATTTCTCTTCCTATTGGATGAAGTTTAATCACATATAATTTTAAAGAGCCAACATCACAATAATAAAACATTTTTTAACCTCTAATGTAGAAGAAATCTGTAAGGAGAAGGTCTGGGACTGGTCCAGGAAATGGGACCAGCTTCCCAAGCTGTTCTCTCTGCCAGATCCAGCTGTCAGCCTAGGCAGTCTTTCCTATACTTCCAGACATCCCTAATGACAGACTCCTTGAGAGCAGGACACACATTTCATTCTTATCTCATTCTCATCCATGGTGTTGGCACTATGTCAGAACAATTCTTCAATCAATATTGGCTGTAAAATAGAGGACGGACGGATGCCCTGGTGGATGGATGGATGCTCAGGTAGATGGATATAAGATTCTAATGGAATTTAATATCTAGTACCAACTATGCTGACATAAGAAAAATTACATAAGCGTTTATTGGCTTTACTGCCTTACCTTGTGACCACTGAATAGACTTTTTAGAATAGGTGTCTGCAAACCAGACAGTAAATATTTGAGGTTTTGTGAGTCATAAGGTCTCCGTCACAATTATTCAACTCACTATAGCAGCCATAGACACATGTAAAGGAATGACCATGCACCAGTGACATGAAACTTGGATTTCCTATCATTTTTACATGTACCAAAATATTCTTTTTATTTTTTAACCATCCAGTAGTATAAAAACCATTCTTGGGGAGCCTGGGTGGGTCAGTTGGTTAACAGATGGCCTTCAGCTTGGGTCGTGATCCCAGGGTCCTGGGATCAAGCCCCAAGTTGGGGTCCCTGCTCCTCCGGGAAGCGGCTTCTCCCTCTCCCTCTGCCTGCCACTCCCCCTGCTTGTGCTCTCTCTCTGTCAAATAAATAAATAAAATCTTTAAAAAAAGAAAAAAAAAAACATTCTTAGTTTGTGGGCTGCACAAATCAGGCAGTGCGCTGTAGTTTGCTAACCCCTGGTCTAGAAAGGCAAGCTGACCTAGAATTAGAAGCACTAAGAAAGGCAATAAAACTATGAGGTGGAAACCCTAGGAAGCCAGAGTAGAATCTAGCTGGCTTTCATTTTCCTTTGGCTATCCTTTTTCCTCCCCAGGGTCACTCCATATTGCTTTCCTGAGCTCCTCAGGACTTGTTTTCAACCAATGTGCCCATTTCCTCATACCTCCAGTGTTACCTCATTCAGAACAGTATTTGCTTAAAATAGGATTCTGGAAGACCAAAGAACGTTCGAGACCCAAAGTAATAGCTTTCTAATGAAGGGCTTTCGTGCATTGAGAGATGTCATTTCATTTTTTTTTTAAGATTTTATTGATTTATTTGACAGAGAGACACAGCAAGAGAGGGAACACAAGCAGGGGGAGTGGGAGAGGGAGAAGCAGGTTTCCCGCGGAGCAGGGAGCCGGATGCGGGGCTCGATCCCAGGACCCTGGGACCACGACCTGAGCCGAAGGCAGACGCCTAAGGACTGAGCCACCCAGGCGCCCCGAGAGATGTCATTTCATTAATATGAATAAATCTCTATGGGTCCCCATGATGAAATATCATGCCGGCTTCTATTCCTCTCACAAAAGAAACATGCTTCCTGCTGGCATGACTTGGGGCAGCCCTGAAGGCAGGAACAGATGTACATACCTATGCTGGAACGAGTAGTGACGACCTATCCGAGAGGAAAAAATATTCTGCAGTTCTCATGTGGAGACTGAGTTGGCTTGAGACCTCACTGCTCTTTTTAGAAGTGCTTAGATTTTAGGTAGTTTCATTCATATGTGAATAAAATAAAGGGTACAGTGTATGACAGATCACATCATCACATACCACTTAAATGAGCATTTATTATATACTTATTGAATACTTGGCACTTTGGCAATGAGCACTAAGTTATCTCCTTCAGCTCTCACCCAGTTATTTTTGGGTCTTTTATTAAACCTTTGTGGCCTGTTAACTAAATGATTTCTGAGAGACGAAACTCAGAAATGACCTCTCTCAATGCATGAAAGCCCTTCATTAGTAATGAGAGCCATTTTTCAGACATCTGTCTCATGAGTCTCTTCTCCCTTTGCTCAGCTCTCTCTCCTAGATGTTCTTTGCAAAATTTTTAACCTTCTCATGTACAAGAAATCTGGAAGCAGGCGGTCTCATTCTTACCTCATTCTCATCTGTGGTGTTGGCACGACGTCAGAACAATTCTTCAATAAATGTCTGCCAAAATGAAGGGTCGGGGATGGGTACCGAACCACGGAAGCCACTCCCGGGAGACTGACAGGTTAAGTGGAAAGAGCCACAGACCTAACTCCCATGACTGGCTTGGTGACCTGGTTAAACCAAACCCTTCTGATTTTTTTAAATAAATGTTTACATTTCTGGCTTTTGGAATAAGGAAGGGTTTGCACTTGGCAATTATCTTCTCAAATCTTTCGTCGTTTGCAAATTGGGGATGATAATCTCTCACGTCCAGGAGTGAAGTGACGTTCATAAGGCGCCCGGTATAAGGTTGGGTGCGGTAGGGATCTGGGGCGGAAGTGGTGTCGGCTGTTATTTTTATTATGGGCAAAACCAATTCCCTCCAGCGGAGAACACGCTTGCAGGCCAGCTGGGGCTGTGAAAAGCGCAGAGACCTCGTCCTTCCAGCGTTTCAATTTCCTTAGCCCTGAGCCTGCTTTTCCCTTTCTGCCCATCAGTTGGCGCCTTTTGCCGTCCTTTTTTTCCCTCAAGCTGGTTTTGCGGGCTGCGGTCGCTCCGCAGCTCGCAGGTCACATGGCCTGCCGGAGCAAGGGGACCCGGCGCGGGAGCTGCGCCGCTGGAGGAGGTGAGGCTCCCGCGCGCACCCGAGCCGCGCGGCGCCCGCTCCGCCCGGGCCTCGGGGTTGGGCGATGGCTCCTCTGTGGCGATGAGCCAGCCCGCCTAGGCGACACCAGAGGCGGCCCTCGGCGTGCGCGGAGGACGGAGCTGACCGCCCCCACCGGGTAGGTTTTCGCTGCGTGCAATCTGCCCGCCTCTCTGGCATCGCAGCCGGAGCGCGGGGACGAGGATTACCCGGGCCGCCGCTGGCGCGGGGAGAGCCGCGGCGGGTGCTGGCGCCGCTCCGGAGGGCCTGCGCCCCCGGCCGTGCGCTCTGGGCAGGCGAGCTTCGCTGAGGCCCGGGCCGGGGCGCCGGCCGCTTCCTGCCGGAGGACTGCAGGGACCCCAGAAGGGCGTCCCCGCGTGGCCCGGGCCGGTGTCAGGGCAGGGATGAATGAGTGTCGCGGCGAGGGCGTCTCTCCACCCCTCGCCCGCTTCGGCTGCGCCGCGAGGCCGACAGAAAGGCGCGAGCCGGGAGCGTGCGAGCCCAGGTAAGACCCTGCTCCTGGCCCGCCTGGGCGGGCCGCACAGCCAAAGGGCGCATCGCCTAATGGCCGCCCGCACGCGGAGAGGGTCCCTCACGCGTCCGCCCCTCGGGCCAGCCGGGGTCGCCAAAGCGCTGCTGCGGCGTGGGGTTTCTGCGCGCGACCTTGCAGCTCGGGGACCGAGGAAGGGCGACCCGGCAGAGGAAGGCGTCCGTCCCAGCTCCCGGAAAGACCAGCCGAAGGGAGCCAGCGCGGCGATCGGAACCGTTAGCCTCGACCTACGGGTGGGGAAACTGAGGCCCAAGCGCGGCAGGGACTGCCCAAGGTCAGCAGCAGACGCTAGATCCGGGACTGTGGTCTTCCGCTCCCATTCTCTTTCCGCGAAGACTGGAGGGGACCACCCCCCGCTAGTCACATCCTCCTCCTGGCCTCTAGGCGCGGGCGTTGTCGGTGCCGCACTGCGCCCGAAGTGCCCAGGGGCGAGAGCTCCTGCAGGGTGGGTGTGACCCTGGCATCCCCTGATGGTTCCGGGCCGCCCCCGGGAGAAGCGCAGGGCGGCTCCAATGATGATCTCACAATGCGGCCCATTAGCAGAACCTGCAGGTGTGTGTGCGTGTGCGCACGTGTATTTCCCCAGGAGAACTGGACTGGTAAGGGGGATAGCTTTTTTTAGGGGTGCATTTCTAGAGTACACTGTACCAGGTACTTTGGGAGGTGACAAGAGAAAACTACGTGTGTCTAACACCTAACCTTATTAAAACTATTAGAATTTTTTAAGGATTAGCGTATTACAAAGCATTCAGGAAACAAAAATGTAGAGGAGAAGATAAAGATAACTTAAAACTTCACTTAGATTGTTGAGACTTTCTGGATATCGTCTTAAAGTTTTCTCTGCATACAAACATCTAAACCAATAAGGTAGACAAAAATAGTATCTTGTTTTAATTTGCACGTCTGATTACCCAGGGGTAGCTAATACTTTTTCCTCTGTGTACTGGCTTTTTGCTTTTGCAGGGGTGAACGGTCTTAATTCTTTTGTTCCACCCCTCGTCCTTTAAAAGTAATTTCTATGCCCAACCCGGGGCTTGAACTCACAGCCCCGAGATCACCAGTTGCACACTCCACGGTCTGAGCCAGCCAGGCGCCCCTCCTTTGCCCCCGTTTCAATTGGAGTGTCTTTCTCTTCCTGATTTTTAAGCATTCTTTATATATTACACATTAAAGAAGTAATTCTGTCATTTATGTTGCATAGTCTTTCCCAGTCTGCTTGATGGTTTTGTCAGTTTTTCATCTTTGACCGTATACAAATTTAACTTTTTCATTTAGTGGTGTGTTTTTTTTTTTTTAATGGTTTCTGCTTGCGGACCTTGATGAGAAGGGGCTTTCCTAAACCTTTAGGCCTTTCCTAAAATATGTAACTATTCTTCTGTATTTCCTTCAGGTATCTTTAAGCTTTTGTTTGAAAATTTTAATGTGAAATTTATTCTAGCTTAAGTTATAAAGTGGAGAGCTAATTTACTTTTCCTGAAGAGTTAGCCAGTTGCCGCAAAGCTATTAAGTCCATTTTTCACCCCAATTTAAATTGCTTCAATTATGGTAGATTAAATTATTACAAGTTTGTATCTGTGTGGATTTTCACCTCTGTCTATTTATCAGTATATTTTGGTGCTGGTGCCATGTTATTTTAATTACTGAAGTTTTATAGTAGGTTTAAGATCTGGTTAGGCAGATTCTCTCTTACTACTCTGTATTATTTTCCTGGCTCTTAGAAAAATCAATTTTATTGAAGTATAGTTTCCATGCAATAAGATACACCATTTAAATGTATATTTTGATGAATTTTATCAAATGTAACCACCATCACAATAAAAAATTATGAAGCGCTACATAAAATTGATGTTATTATTGCACAGGGGCCCTGCTAATCTTTGATACATCCTCCCAATTTTAGTATATGTGCCAGCAAAGCGAGTATTTTGTAGCAGTTTTTATTAGTACTAATTCCAGAAAATCTTTTGAATGCTTTGGTCAATTTAACTAACCTCTCCCTCCCTGTGCCACCAAAGGAAACAAACAAAATCTTGTCTGGATTTCTCTTGGATTTTGATAACAAGGGTCCTCAGAGTACAGGGCCCCTGGGTGTCATGTCACCATCCCAATGCCCAGCCCAAGACTCAGTATTTGTGGAATGAATGTTTAATAATTATCATAAAAGTAGTATATACTCTTTACAAAAGTGTTGAAAGGGGACACCTGCGGGGGCTCAGTCGGTTAAGCGTCTGCCTTCGGCTCAGGTCATGATCTCGGGGTCTTGGGATCCAGCCCCATCTTGGGCTCCCCACTCAGCGGGGGAGTCTGCTACTCCCTCTGCTCCTCCCCTCTCCCTGCTCATGCTTGTGCTTGCGTGCTCTCTCTCTCTCTCTCTCTCTCTGAAATAAATAAAATCTTAAAAAAAGCAAGAGCAAAACAGGAAGCTTCTATTCCTCCATACCTTCATCTCTCTTTCCCTAAATTATACTCCATATTAAAAATAGAATGACCGTACTATGTACATTTTTCTACAATTGCACTGACATAGTTGGCATTATTTTTCCCGTAGAGACTTAAAATCTGCTCAAATTGTAACAAATTACCATAGATTGAGTGGTGTAAACAGCAAAACATTTCTTTCTGGAGGCTGAAAGTCTGAAATCAGGCTGCCCTCATAGCTGGGTTCTGCTCAGGGCCCTCTTCCTGGTGTATGGATGCTACCTTCTCACTGTATTCTCACTGTATTCTCACTATATTCTCACTGGCGGAGAGCAGAGAGAGCAAGCCAGCACTCTCCCACCTCTTCGTATAAGGGCACTAATCCCAACATGAGAGTTCCACCAGCAAGACCTAAATAACCTCCCAGAGACCCCATATCCAAATACCATCATGTTGAAGATTAGCGTTTCAATACATGAATTTGGGGGGAGTGCATTCAGTCCATAGCAGAGACCTAGATAAGACTTTTTAAAGGTTAGTATATTTAAAGCTTTCTCTTCCTTTTTAATGGCTCCTTATCATCCCCTTGTATAATTATCTAAAAATACATTTCCTGTTGCTGGGTATTTTCTTTTCCTGCAGTTCCTTCTCCTTCCTTCTTCCTCTCCTTTCCTCTTCTCTCTTCCCCTGCCCCCCCTTCCCCCTCTTTATCTTTCTCTTTCCTACTATTACAAACAAAACTGCCATGAACATTCCTTGTCCATCTTTGGTAGCAAGTGTTGGCATTTCTGCAGGATAGATATCTAGAAAGAATTTCTATGTCAAGGGGGATGCACATATAAAATTTTTATAGATACTGGTTCCATTTTCCTTCCAAAGGTTGCACCAATTTGTATCAAGTGCCCATTTGTTGAACTGGGCCCCTCCCTCCTGAAGTAAATTGAACTGACATTATATTAAATATAGAGATTAATTCTAGAGAAAGAGATCTCTATCCTCTTTCATTAGTGAGGCTTTCCAATGGGGAAAATCTTCTGTTTCTCCACTTACTAAAGACTTTTTAAATATCTTTCAGTAGAATTTTATAGTATGTGTGTATATTCTGCATATTTAAAAAATTTATTCCTAGGTTTTTTACCCCATTTTCACAGGGATCTTTTATCCCAATAATTCATTTGGTTATTGACTGATTAGGTGAAGCAGTTTGTGTGTGTGTGTGTGTAATACTATATATTATTTTAAAATATATTTTTACATTATTATTTTTACATATTAATATTTACATTCTGAAACTCTGTTACCATTTCTAATGATTTTTTAGCTGATTTTCTTGGGTTTCCAATCTCTGCAGTGACAGTATTGCATATTGGTTGGGAACATGTGTTCTGGAGCCTGTCTGCCTAGGTTCAAATTTTCCCACACACTTAAAAGCTTTGTTAACCTTTGGTACGATTTAATTCTGTCTTTAGGTTTTTCAGGTATAAAATGGACTGAATAATAGTATTTCTCATAGGCTTCTTATGAGGATTGATGAGATGCTTAGAACATTGCCTAGCACATAATACGTGCTCAGTAGACATGTACAAATAAGTTGATCTCTGCACACTATAAGGCCACGCTCTCTGATACTCCCAATTTTATAGCTGAAGGAATTGAGACCCACCGAGGTTAAATGACTTGACTGTGAGCATTTATTTGCTTAACAAACATTGAACCTCTCCTATGCATAGAGTACTGTGATGAGTCTGCAAGGGATATCAAAGATAAATCATACTGAATTCCACTAACAACAGATTTGTAAGTCCAATTGGGGCATAAGTCAGGGGTCATGAATAAAGCCATGGAGGGCAGCAGGCACTGTGGACAAAATATGGGCTTTGGAATTTCTCCTCTGTTTTAATTTCCTGCTCTCAACTTGGTAGCATTTATTTTTTTTCCTCTAAATGGGATTAGTTCCATTGCTATTCAAGAGTTGCTATTTTGGTTAAATGAAATAGATGTTAAGAGTCTATTACAGAACTTGGGTATGTAGTAGGAGCTTAATAAGTGGTAGCTATACATAGATACAGTCTGAAGTAGCAAGTGATAAATGAATGTTCTGGGAGGGAAATTTATGTAAAGGGGCCAAGCACTTGAGAAACAAGAGTTTATTTCTGTTTGGGGTAGATGAG